GGGACCGATCACCGATGGCCAATCGTTCCTTTCCACTTTGCCAAAGGTGTCTCAAAAAAGTCTTCCCTAGTCTATCCTAACGATATCCCTTCCCGCCTTTTCAACCCACCTTCTATGCCCCAGTACAGCTACCGTCCTTTCCTCTCTATTCCATGCCTCAAACATCTCCCTGTACGTTCCATCTATTTGTCCCAGCTCAGTCACGTACACTTCCCTCTCCTTGTACCACGGACATTCCGCGACTACATGAACACGGTCTTCGCATTCGAAGCCGCAATCACATCTGAACTCGTCGTCTTCGTCGTCTACCGTCATATGTCTTCGTCGACGTTCTCGAAGGCCTATGTCCCCGGTCCTGAATTTGACCTTAAGCTTTATCCCTGCATCCATTGGTCCATGTAGGTAATCCTTGAACCCTATTCCTTCCTTCAACATTCCGTACACTTCTAGACCCTCCTTATCCTTGTTTTTTTCTTTTGATTCTGTTCATCTCTCGGCACCAAGCAACAGATATCTTCTCCTTGAACCCCTGTAGACCCTCCGTTTCCAGCGTTTCATCTTCGTCGATGTCGAGCCCCTTCCATACGTCCTCTACAACCTTGACCCATTCCGTGGGTTGTCTACCCCTCTTTTTGTTTGCCCACTTCGCCTCCCATACACTTCTCGGCAACCTCTCCTCTCCCATCCCGCACATGCGATACTGCCATGTCAGCTTCCTCGCGTCTCTTCCCGACCATAGGGACTGGATCCCCAATTCTGTCCTGACGGCTGCATTACTTGTGCGCTTGGAGCATCCTAGGATGATTTTCGCTGCTTTCATCTGCGCCGCCTCGAGTTCTTTCCTACCTTCTTATTTCCTTCCCATGCTTCTCCGGCGTACTCTAGCGGCGGTACGATTACGCTCTTCAAAACCGTCAATTTGATGCATGTATCGAGGTGCCAGTTTGCGAGCATTGGGTGCAGCTTCCCTGCTCGTGCTTTGCCCTTTTCCGCTACTCAAAAACGTGCCGGGTGGGGGGGAGGGTGCTCTCTCATGTCAACGCACACCGCATTCGGTAAGGCAATTGACCAAGCATCCCCACAACGCCGGGACGGAGCGATATGTATGTATGCCGGGTTCCGCCGGCCCAGGCTAGGGTGAACCAGAAGCTGGTCATTGCCCTTGTGTCTCCTGTGCCAAACCGAATATATGCCATGTGGGTTTTGATTGGGCATGCCGGCAAACCAAGGGAGAGGGGGGGGGGGGGGGGGGGGGGGGGGGGGTGTACTCATAGTCGTGCATGCCGTAGTCGTTAGACCATTGACCTCGCATCNAAACTTCAACGGGACACCACATGACACGGCGACGCTTCCATCAAGAGCGGAACGATCAGGGACACCTAGTGTGTCCGCGGCGTTCCGTGGGATATCATGCCGTGGGTGACAAGACGTAAGATGGCACATCCCCCAGATCGATCTTCAAAGCTCGATCACTCCACGACTCGAAGAGCATGTAGTAAAAATTCAAACGATAGGTTTTCGGAAATATGTCGATGAGATGGTTCCAACGCCGTCATTTTTCGCACCGCCACTCGGTTTGCTGTGGAGATGATCGAGCTTTGAAAAGCAGTCCATGAGTGTGATACCAAACGTCACCTACGGTCGTTGTATGCACCCGACTAGAGGGCTTACTCCAAGCCATGGGGACGCACTTCCTGCGACCCCTACGTCTGGGCAAGATTCCTCATTCTACGTTTAGTTATCCTCTTGGTTTCAAGAAAATACCGCATTCGGTGTTAAACACGAAATTGAAAACACCAAACAGCGCCAAAACACGAAACACACCACACGTAACGGCCCATCTGTCGGAATACCACCGCGAATTGGATGAGCTAGGAAGTGCTACATACTAAACTGCAGAAAATCTGGTGGAGAAGAATTGTGCTGTGCCTTAGACTGTTGGGACCGGACGGGGGTGAGGGGCGACGTGGGAATCATCTAGCAATTCGGAAGAACTGATGGTCCCGATCGCAAGCTTGCACCCCTCATGTCATGACGAGGAGGAAACGAACAAGGTGCGGGTAAACAACAAAGATGACTAAATAGTCAGACAACACCTGTAAAAACGTGCCCAAGATCATCCAAGAAAACACGACCGCCTTGACCTTGAACCCATGCGTAATATACTGCTCAACGAACAGAACCATCACGGGATGTAAAAGAACACGTTCGACGACATCAAATGCGGCATGGGTGGTCATGGACAAATTGAATGATACCATGGTATCTACCACAAGCATCAAGGAAAAATCTGTTTCCGCGTCAAGCTTCACCCCGTCGCTGGGGTACTGCTGGTGAAAGTCGAAACACAGCACAGACTCCGTAGCGTACTGTTTGAGGGGCAACACCTTCTATGTAACAGGACATAGCACTGCCAACTCACCTTGAGAGTGAAGGATCGACTCAGAAGAAGCCGTGTCCTCGAAGGACCTAGCACCGCCAGGTACTCTAACCCACCGATCGCTGCCTCTCCGCTCCCCTCTCCGCTCCCCTCTCCGATCATCGCCGAACCCAACCGGGGACTCGCCCGCAGCGCCCTCCCCCTCCGAGTCCGCTCTCCAGTAGCTCGGCTTCACCATGGACAGGAAGGCCTGCGCGGTCGACTGCGCCACCTCGGACACGTCCCGCGCCGCCGATTGCGCCGCGGCAAAGGCTGCCGCGTTCCCCGGGTCTTCGCGCGTGCCCGCCCACATCTCCGCGGGCGGCAGGCCGGCGGGGGCTAGCCCCTCGTCGACCGAAGGAAATCTGGGCGTCGACGGCATCGAGCCACCGCCGCCGCTGCTGGCGTAGTGTGACCCGGCGTCGCCGCTGCCGCCGCCGTTCGATTGCCTGGAGTTGCGTCGGGAGATTTTACTGCCGCCGCTGCTCGCGAAGAACCCATCGCCGCCGCCGCCGCCGCCGGCGGCATCGCTCGCCGTGGGCGTTGTGACGACGGCCGCAGCCTTCGACCGAATGTAGTTGAACATTCCCCGGACGGAAGCCGCCGCTGAGGTCGACGCGTCGGAACCCTGCCGGGAGCGGCTCGCGGCGCCGCCCCCGCTGCCGCCGGCGGCATCCCCCCAGTGCGGTGGCTCGTACAAGAGCTCCCTCGGCACAGCCGATCGCACCATGCTTTCCTCAACGGGGGGCATCAAAGACAACGACGATGGCGCGACGGTGCCATCCGCGGCGCCTTCCGCCTGGCCGCCGCGGCTGTCCTCGAACCAGACCTCTTCTTCTGGCGGTTCGACGAGGATGCCGTCTTCTTCTGCCGCTGCCGCCGGCGCCATCCCTGGCGTGGTCATCGTCGCGGTAACGCCCACCGCAAACGCAGACGCCGCCGCTGCTCCAGCCCCTGCTTCCGACGCGGATCCCGACTTTTGTTGAGCGGCCGGCAACGGCTCGGCAGGGACGGGGTAGACTATTTTTTCTTTTCTGGCGGATTTGACAGGTCCCCTTGTCTTCAACACCTGCAGAGAGCCAATGAAGGAAGTACGGCATCATTGCACAGAAAGCCAGGGGGGGGCATAAGTTCGTTTGCCCTGGCACCAAGGTCCATCCTCATCCGGTCGAACGCCTAGCCAACCCACATAGCTCTTTCGAACAAGCGGGCTGTGGCACTCTTTCTTTCTGATATCCGCGAGAGGATGCCCTCTCGCCCTGTCACTCTGAAGAGGACGCACACGGCAGCAGCGCAACAGCAGCACCCGTCTTTCAGCGACAGCAACAACCCTACATATTCTACTGGTACGTACGTACTCTTGGAGCGAACAGCAAACACAACGGCAGGGATGTTGTTACAGCCGGTGACAAATGATTCAGCCCTCCTGAAGCGTGTAACCCATGTTTGGGAGACCACCTCACGTACGCGCTGGCTCTTTCCCAGAACACAATAAAAAACGGTATGGTCACACATGAGCCTGCGGGGTTGATTCAAACAGGAATGATGATACCGTGCGTATACGTATGAAGGACGGCACCCTACTCAGGGCAGCAGCAATAAGCCACCTGAATGGCGGAAACATAGGCAGATCCTTAGGAAACAACGCGGGCACAGCAGCGAGCTATCGATTCAAGTTATGGGGCAGATAAGACAACACACACCTCCTTGATTTCAAGTCCCCGGTCGCATTCTCCGATACATGAATACCAACTGCCCGCTTGCGTCTCAAGCTTCCTCCAGACTCGAGTCGGGTTTATCCCCCCCCCCCCCCCCCCCCCCCCCCCCCCCCCCCCCC